GGATACCTTGTACCCGCACGACTACTCTCAGTGCTTTAATACAGCCTCAGGACACGGGGACTGAAGGCCAAGAGGGTTAGGCGCTGAGAGCAGCTGAAATGAGCACCGGTGGAGCTACAGATTACACTGATACAGCGCCTTTCAGGTCGGGAGGACGACCCAAGGCGCTGGATATTGGGTCAGTGCCCACACAAGTTTAAGGCGCTTTTGTTAGAGCTCTGTCGGAGAAGTGGTGTGTGGCTCTGAAAAGAGCCTTTGTGTGTAGATGGAGTGACTGTGAGCCCTCACTTGGAGCTGGTGTACTTGGTGACGGCCTTGGTGCCCTCGGACACGGCGTGCTTGGCCAGCTCCCCGGGCAGCAGCAGGCGCACGGCGGTCTGGATCTCCCTGGAGGTGATGGTCGAGCGCTTGTTGTACTGCGCCAGGCGGGAAGCCTCGGACGCGATGCGCTCGAAGATGTCATTCACAAAGGAGTTCATGATGCTCATGGCCTTGGAGGAGATGCCGGTGTCCGGGTGGACCTGCTTCATCACCTTGTACACGTAGATGGAGTAACTCTCCTTCCTCGACCTCCTGCGCTTCTTGCCCGCAGTCTGCGGTTTGCGAATCGCTTTCTTGCTGCCTTTTTTGGGCGCTCCTTTGCCCTCGGATTTAGCGGCTTTGCCCTCGGATTTGCCCTCACCCGCCATTCTGCTCTCTTGATACCACCGACACAGTGTCGGGCAGTGTTCTGAACCTCCTCTTATATATTATCGCCATCCAATCCCAGCAAAGCAGTCCGTTCATCCCTCTTTAGCATAACCGGTTCCCCAATGGGACCCCGGGGGTTGGCAACCAATCCCCAGCCTCCCAGCCTCTGTGCTGTGATTGGCTGAGAGCCCGATGTGCTGTGGGGCCGGGGCTGGGGCTGCAGTGCGAGGAGATCTGATTGGGCAGGAAATGAAGGGCCTGACGCTCGGAGCCTATTTAAGCACAGAATCCGCTCTGGTTAGTGTCGGAATCTTAGTCAAGATGTCAGGACGTGGGAAGACTGGCGGTAAAGCCCGAGCCAAGGCCAAGTCCCGCTCCTCCCGGGCCGGACTGCAGTTCCCCGTGGGCCGCGTCCACAGACATCTCCGTAAAGGCAACTACGCTGATCGCGTGGGGGCCGGAGCCCCGGTCTATCTGGCCGCGGTGCTCGAGTATCTGACCGCTGAGGTGCTGGAGCTGGCGGGCAACGCCGCCCGCGACAACAAGAAGACCAGGATCATCCCCCGGCACCTGCAGCTGGCCGTCCGCAACGACGAGGAGCTGAACAAGCTGCTGGGGGGAGTGACTATCGCTCAGGGCGGCGTGCTGCCCAATATCCAGGCTGTGCTGCTGCCCAAGAAAACCTCCTCTCATCCTCAGAAGAAGTAACTCATCCGAGGTTTTCCTATCCAACCAAAGGCTCTTTTCAGAGCCACCCACACGGTCCAGGAAAGAGCCGTTTGCCGTTTCAGCAAAGCGACCTCCAGTGCGGGGACAGGGCCCGCAGCAGCCATACCTCTTACCCCGCATCAGGTTGAGCTGATGCGCGCGTGAATGCGTGGATTTAATCATTGCGGCTTAGAAGAGAGTACTTCGGGAGCCGGAGTGCAGTTCAGAGCTGTGTGAGTTTGAATGTACAGGATGCTGCCGAGTCGTAAGTCGCGTCAGAGACACCAATAACTAATGCAGGTGAACAAAACGCCAAATACTGCAGGTGCTGGAAATCTGAATCCAAAACCCCAAGTGGCTGGGAACACTCAGCAGGTCAGGCCGCATCCGTGGAGAGGAGAGCAGTCGACGTTTCGGGTCCGGGCTGACCCGGGGTCATGTGGACCCGGAACGTTGACTCTCACTTTCCTCACAGTGAACGCATGCGGACGGTTCAAGACACGGTCCATAGAAAGCTCGATCTCGCTGTATCGGCACCGGCCGTTACTGAACGCTCAGTCTCACAGCAGTTTGGGCTAAATGTGTTCAGCTCAGGAGGAGTGTTCAAGTGTGGTTTGGCCGCTCTTTCCGTTGAACTATTTGGTGGCTCTTAAAAGAGCCTTTGTTGTTAGTGTGGAGACGGAGGGTCTAAGCGCGCTCCCCGCGGATGCGGCGGGCCAGCTGGATGTCCTTGGGCATGATGGTGACCCGCTTGGCGTGGATAGCGCACAAGTTGGTGTCCTCAAACAGCCCCACCAGGTAAGCCTCGCTGGCCTCCTGAAGCGCCATGACGGCAGAGCTCTGGAAGCGCAGGTCCGTCTTGAAATCCTGAGCGATTTCCCGCACCAGGCGCTGGAAGGGCAGTTTGCGGATCAGCAGCTCGGTGGATTTCTGGTAGCGGCGGATCTCCCGGAGAGCCACGGTGCCGGGACGGTAGCGATGCGGCTTCTTCACGCCCCCCGTGGCCGGAGCGCTCTTACGAGCAGCTTTGGTGGCCAACTGTTTGCGGGGAGCTTTGCCGCCGGTGGATTTCCGCGCCGTCTGCTTTGTCCGCGCCATCTTCTGACTCCCGCAATCAAGACGAGCTGTGAATGGCGAGTGCACTGTGAGCAGCGGCTCTTATAGAGGCCACAGCGCAACGATTGGCTGCAGTCACAGGGGAGGAGAGAGCACCGACACCGACACCGGGAACAGAGATCAGCCTCTGAGCTGCGAACTCCACCTCCAGCTTCTCCACAAGCATTTCACAACCACATTGAAAATAAGTCGTGATTGTGAGAATGATATCATTGTTACATTGTTACTCCAAATTGGTTGTTGTTTAGAGAGAGAAGGCCTATTTACGGAAATGCTGACGGTTTCTCTGTGTCCGAGTTTGTCTGAAAACATTCTGAAGACATTCGACAGCTTCAGGAATCCTGCAGTGGGACGGTTGGCACACGCACCCTCGCAAGCGCGAGGACCTGGGCCAGGTTTCCGGACGGGGCCAAATGTTAGGGAAGTTTCCTTACCCTTCCCGCCTCTGTTTCCCGAGCAGTAACGAGGCACCCGCTTGTTAGTCGATTGGCACATCGCTTTTCCGGCGGTGATAATCCCGTCAATAAAAAGAAAGAATAATTTGGTCACTCAATCCAGACTGTTTGTTGAACACTGCTGTGTGCAATTGACTGCTGCGATTCCCTCACCAAATATATACAGTCAAGTGGCTTTACAGTGTGCTCTGTGAAGCGATTTGCGTCGTGTCAAGGATGTGATAAGGCGATATATCAAATGCAAGGATTATTATTATTATTTTTATTTTCTACCCCGTTACAACACCACACAATGTCACCCCATGTCCTGCTCTTTGTTCCCTAATCATGGAGAACATCAATCCGTTTAATGAAACCAATTTAAACTTAACCAGGAGAAGGATCACATTTACTCCTTTCTTTATTTCTTTCAGTGTTAATTTAATTTACAATCTACTTTCGGGGAGCGGCGGCAGGACAGCGCGAGGAGGAGCCTGGGCCTACTGACCCAGGTACTTAAACTCGACGCCGGAGCGAGTTCAGCCCCGGGGGGTGGGGGCGGAGCGGGGGAACCGCTGACGTCATAGATTAGTTTTCAGGTGAGTGCGCGCGCGCAAAAAAAAAAAAAAAAACCTCCGCGCCCCCCCCCCCCCAGGGCTCACATCAGAGCCCACTATGGTCCTGTTGGGTTCGCTGCCCCAATCTACGGGATAATGCCATCCACCTGACCGCTCGCTCCCGGTCCCCGCGTGCGCACTATGGCTGCCGCTTTGACCCGAGCCCCCTCACCCCCTCCCTCCCCCCCCCTCCTCTCTCCCCCAAACCCTCCCCCCTCTGCATCTCTCCCGCTCTCTCCTCCTCTCTCTCCGTCCCTCTCGTCTTCTATCCCCACTTGACCCTCCCACAACCTCCCTCTGCTCCAGTCTGGGAATCCTCCGCCGGGCTCACCGCGGCACTCGGCGTTGGCTGTCCAGCAGCAGCCACACCGACTGCCCCATTCCCCACCACACTCGCCACCCACCCCGGACACAGACCCGGGGAGTCAACCTCTCCTCCCTCATCCCCATTCCCCCCACCCCTGCCTCACAACCTGGACCCCCCTCCCCTCCCACACACCCTTCTGTCAACCGCTCCCTCCACATCGGACTGCAAAATGTCCGCTCCCTCTGCAACAAGGCCCTGGTCATCAACGATCTCATCCTTGATGAGAACGTTGATATCATGGCCTTAACAGAAACCTGGCTCACCCCAGGCGACACCTTCCCCCTCACGGAGGCCACGCCACCCGGCTACACCTCCCACCACATCCCCCGCCCCAACCGCCGTGGCGGTGGTGTTGCCCTTATCTCAAGGACACCACTTGCCCTATCCCCCTACTCCACTGGCTCTTTCCCCTCCTTTGAGCACCTCACCCTCTCCCACCCCTCATTCCTCTCCCTTAAAATCCTCCTCCTCTACCGGCCCCTAAAACCTCTCCCACCTTCATCTCTGACATTTCAACACTCCTCACATCTCTTTGCCTCTGCTCCGATCGCCTCATCATCCTGGGCGACTTTAACCTACACTTCACCCCCTCCTGCTCCATCTCCACAGACTTCTCTTCCCTGCTCTCCTCACTCAACCTCTCCTTACACATAAACTCCCCCACTCACAGTCACGGCCACCCACTCGATTTGGTGATCACCCGGGGCCTCAGTGTCTCGGATGTCACTATTACCGACAAGGCCATCTCTGACCACTACTTCATCTCCTTCACCACCTCCTCCACCAGACCCACCACCATCTTCTACCGCCCTTGGAAGAAGTTACCCCTACAATCCCTAACCGATGCCTTGGAGTCCTCTGAACTCCTCTCCCTCTGGCCTTCAACCCTCACCGACCCCTCTTCTCCTCTCTCCCTCCTCCACAATACCCTCTCCTCCACACTCGATACTCTTGCCCCCATCACTTCCCGCACTGTCTCCTACTCCCGCTCCTCCCCCTGGTACACCACCCACCTCCGCTCACTGAAAAGCCAGGTGCGGGCCGCTGAACGCACCTGTGTCAAATCTGGTCTAACGGTCCACCGACAAATCTGGCTGGACCTCCTCAAAATTTACCGCTCCACTCTAGCCTCGGCCAAGTCGTCCTTCTACTCCAGGATAATCCTGGAGGCGAAGAACAACCCCAGGCTACTGTTTTCCACCACAACCCGACTCCTCCGTCCCCCCCGCCACCCCGCGCAGGTCATCTCCTCCAACCTTCACTGCGAGGAGATGCTTGATTTCCTTGAATCCAAGATCAAGGGAATCCGCTCCGCGGTCACTTCCCCTCCAACTTCCACCCACCCCTTCCCTCCCACACTCCGACTCCTACCCATCCTCCCCTACACACCTTCGTACCCGTTTCCCCACCCTCTGTCACTGAACTCATCCTATCCCTAAAACCAACCACCTGCTCCCTTGACCCCATCCCCACTCCACTCCTTATCTCCCAGCTCCATTTTCTTGCCCCACAGGTTTCCGTGCTGCCCATAGCAGAGAAACTGCCCTGGTCAAGGTCACCAATGATATCCTGACCATCTGTGACCAGGGCTCCCTCTGCCTCCTCGTCCTCCTCGACCTATCGGCAGCATTCGATACGGTCGACCACGCTATCCTACTCCACCGCTTGTCCTCCCACCTCAACCTTCAAGGCACTGTCCTTGAATGGTTTAGGTCGTACCTTTCTCACCGTCTTCACTTTGTCTCGACGAATGGCTTCTCCTCCACCCCCCGCACTGTCTCATGTGGTGTCCCTCAGGGCTCTGTCCTCGGTCCCCTCCTCTTCACCCTCTATATGCTCCCCCTCGGTGACATCATCCGCAGACATGGAGTTAACTTCCACATGTATGCGGATGACACCCAACTCTACCTTTCCTCCTCTACTCTCAACTCCATGACCACCGATGTCCTGACAGCCTGCCTGTCCGACATCGAGTCCTGGACGAGAGACAACTTTCTTCAGCTCAACGTGCGAAAAACCGAGGCCCTCCTGATTGGCTCACGTCAGCGCCTCAGCACCTCAGGCGCCGACACCATCAGCATCCAAGGCCGCACTCTCCACCTCTCAAAGCCGGTCAGGAACCTCGGCGTTTTGTTCGACCCTGAGCTGTCCTTTCTCCCTCACATCCGCACCACAACTGGCACCGCCTTCCATCACCTCCAGAACATCGCCAGACTACGGCATTACCTCACCCCTCACGCTGCTGAAACCCTGGTTCACGCCTTTGTCACCTCAAGGCTGGACTACGGGAACTCTCTCCTCGCCGGCCTTCCCGGCCCTCCCTCCACAAGCTGCAGGTCATTCAGAACTCTGCAGCTCGTGTACTGTCCCGCACCAGACACCGCGACCACATCACTCCCACCCTCGCCCTCGCTCGCCTCCACTGGCTCCCCATCCCCCAGAGGATTGATTTCAAGATCCTCATCCTCACCTACAAGGCCATTCACGGTCTTGCTCCCTCCTAGCTCTCCAACCTACTATCCCCCTACCTACCTGCCCGTACCCTCCGTTCCTCTGGCTCCGGTCTGCTCCACGTCCCCCGCCCCAACCGCCCTACTATCGGTGGTCGGGCCTTCAGCCTCTCAGCCCCCAGGCTCTGGAACTCCATCCCCCAGTGCCTTCGCCTTGCTTCCTCCCTTTCCTCCTTCAAGGCCGGTCTCAAAACCTTTCTCTTTGACCGTGCCTTCAGCTCCCCTCTCAACTCTCTTCCCCTCCTCGCTCCCTCCCTTCCCTCCCCTCACCCTGACCATTTCCCCCCTGCTCGGGTCATGACCCAACTGTGCAGCGCCTTGGGACGTCCTCCTGACGTGAAAGGCGCTTTATAAATGGAATCTTGTTGTTGTTGTTGTTGTACTTTGATTGTGAATTTTGACTGATTCTCTGAGGCTACACTTAACAACACAGTACATTCAAAATCGAGATAAATACTACTCAATGTTGATGGCCTAATTTTTATATATTTCTGAGTGAGAATATCTGAGAAGAAATTTGAACATAGCAGTGTTTGCTAAAATAGTACACCATTGTTCTTAATAATGAAGCACAGTCAACCAGGGCACTTAGTTTTCATCTCGATTACAAGTTCAAAGTAAGGCCTATGAGATTCTATCTGTCGAGACAAGAAATCAAGTTCAAGTAATTACATTTTAACAGGAAATGTCTTCGGCCACAGTGACCAGGGAAGATACCAGACATAAAGTTGCATTGTGAAGATAGGTTCTGATACTTGTTTCATTATTCCTAGAATGAGTATCTTGATTCAGCGGAGCTCTTTAAAGTGAACAGTGAAATGAGTTGTATATAGATACATAACATGCAGACGATATGGTTGGTGCACCACTCTCGTAAAAAAATATTCAATAGTATCAAACAATAGTTGTTCTGAACAACTATTGTTTGATAAAATACATCAAATGTAAAGCAATGAAGGAGACCTTTCCTGCAATCCTGCTTGTATGAACGGCCGCCTTCAATAATAGTTGAAAACCAGTTTCATCCCATTCTCCCCCATAGCCATTTCCAGTTCCAA